GACGCATTTGAATGCAATTCAATATACTTAGCTTCCGCAATAGCAATCATTTTATGTTCTTCAAAAATAATGCATTTGTCAGCAACTAAAACATCATTTACACCCATAAAGAATTCCTTGTTACAAATGTTTCATTTGAACATTGTAGAATTACATTTCACAAACTCATTAGAGAGCATACAATCATATTCATTCTCATATTTATTTCTCCACAAAACAATGGTCGGAAATATGCGTCAAATTAATTCTTCGAACTTTATTTAGTCTATATGAAGTATGGGAAGAGAGTGTTATGAGTTGTAGAAGAAATAAAACTTTTTTTAATCCAAAATAAAGAAAGCAATGAACGCGTCAATGAATACGGTATATTTTGTTGTGCCTTGTAGAACAATGGCTGTCTATTCTACGCCATTGTCAAACTTTACTGGGTGAAAATGTCCTTGACCCAAGAAATGAATGACAATGTGGATGCTGCTGTCTTCTTTGGAGGGTTCACCTTAGGAGAGTTGGACAAAATCCTTTCTTTGATGTTCTTCATTAAAGTGTTCAATTTTGAAGGATTACCTTGCATGTGTTTTACCATGCCTATCATAGTTTAGTTTGTTTTAATATGTTTTCGAGGTTGTACTTTTTGTTTTGTCAAATATAAGATACCGTGTTACTTTTTTTGAGGAACATAGCAAACTTTAATTCAATTCTACTGCTAAGGAATTTAGATAGCAGTAATGATTATTGCTAAGAATTTTAATTAATGGATAGCAGTAATTAAAAAGTAGTAGACTATAAAAAATTTATAGAAGCCATGGTAACTTATGATTTATGAAAGTAAATTTAGACATCGATGATAGTAAATCATATTAAATTAGGATATTAATGACTCATAGTAAATTTAAATAAAGGTATAGAAATAGATGGTCTAAATTTAAGTAAAGAAAAACTATATTAGTATATCATAGATTATTTGGATAGTTCGTTTTATGAAAGATAGCAAAATTCTTTCTTTGATGTTCTTCATTAAAGTATTTTTGAAGGATTACCTTGCATGTGTTTTACCATACCTATCATAGTTTAGTTTGTTTTAATATGTTTTCGAGGTTGTACTTCTTGTTTTGTCAAATATTAGATACCGTGTTATTTTTTTTGAGGATCATAACAAACTTTAACTCAATACCACTGTTAAGGAATTTAGATAGCAGTAATGATTATTGTTAAGAATTTTAATTAATGGATAGTAGTAATTAATTTGTTTTGTCAAATATAAGATACCATGTTACTTTTTAGAGGATCATAACAAACTTTAATTCAATACCACTGTTAAGGAATTTAGATAACAGTAATGATTATTGTTAAGAATTTTAATTAATGGATAGTAGTAATTAAAAAGTAGTAGTAGTAAAAAATTTAAAGAAGCCATGGTAACTTATGATTTATGAAAGTCAATTTAGACATCGATGATAGTAAATCATATTAAATTAGGATAGTAATGACTCGTAATAAAAGGTATAGAAATAGGTGGTCTAAATTTAAGTAAACAAAAACTATATTAGTATATCATAGATTATTTGGATAGCACATTTTATGAAAGATAGCAAAATCCTTTCTCTGATAGTCATCATTAATGCATTCGATTCTAAAGGGGTTTAACATGTGTTTCATGCGTGGTTATTTACCTTGTCTTAGCTTGTTTTTATGTGTTTACGAGGTTGTAGCTTTTGCTTCAGTCAAAACGTACAGTATTCTGTGCTACTCTTTTGTGGATTATTACAAACTTTAATTCAATTCTATTGTTAAGAAATTTAGATAGCAGTAATGAGTGTTTTGAATTTTGATTAACGGATAGTAGTAATAAAAAAGTGGTCGATCATAATAAAATTTAAAGAAGTCAAGGCAATTTATGGTTTATGAAAGTCAATTTAGATATCGATGGTCCTAAATAATATCAAGTTAGGATAGTGAGCATAATAAGTTCCATGATGGCTAAATGGGAATTCTTGTTGGTTCTCAGGAATATACTCTCGGAACAATTTGGGATTCTTTTATCCTGGATGATCATAAATAGGTTCGAATTCCTACATTGGAATGATAGTAGTTAATGATCGTTCCAACATTTGATTTCTAAGATACTATGATGGAAATGATGCTATGATGGAATGAAAGCCAAGAAATACATTGTTTAAATTTAAGTGAAGATAATATTATTAGTATATCGTAGATTCTTTGGATAGTTCATTTTATGAGAGATGGACAATTTCCTTTCTTTTATGTTCTTCGTTAAAGTATTCGGTTTTGAAGGATTATATTCATGTGTTTTACCATACCTATCATATTTTAGTTTGTTTTCAATATGTTTTCAAGGTTGTAAGTTTTGTCTCGGTCAAAGATTAGATATTGTGCTTTTTTTGATGATTTTGACAAACTGTCATTCCATTATACTATTAATGAATTTGTGTATCAGCAAAGATTAACATTAAAAGTTTTTAATTACAGTTATAAAAAATGATAGACAGTAAATTTTAAAGAAGTAATGATAATGTAGTAAATTAGTAATTTAGTAAAAGTCAATTTAGATATCGGGAAATTAAACAAATGAAAGGAATTTCAGCATGTATTCTGAATGCAGTCCCGTAGCTCTTCACGAATCTTTCGGAAACTTTAAATTAAATAATTATGTTTCGAAACTATTTATTATCACTATCACGTTTCCAAAAGACTTTGATTAGAACATTTTCATGTTAATCCTAATTAGGGCTCAGTAATAACTAATAAAAACTTTTTCAATATTTATTCTAAACGTAGTTCCATAACTCTTCATAAATTATTCAGCAAATTTATGCTTATTAATTGTTTATTTCACTGACACACAATAAATATAACGATTATAAATTTGGGTCAAAAACAACAAAATTGAATAGCTTTTACTTAATAATATTAACAAAGGCATAGCCTATTTGTCATGAATTTATATCAGATTGATAGTTCTCGCAACGCCATCTAGAAAAGAGATCTTGATAATTACACATCTTGATAATGAAATTCAAAGCTTACATATCTTAATAATGAAATTAAAAACTTACACATCCTGATAATGAAATTAAAAACTTACACATCCTGATAATGAAATCAAAAACTTACATATCTTAAAAACGAAATTAAAAATGTACACATCCCGATAATAAAATTAAAAACTTACATATCCTAATAATGGAGGTTACTTCTTGTGGAAAAAATTGCTGAAATTATCACTGGAATTTCTCTCTCCTTTCAACAGTAAACTTATAAATATATTGAAAATAGGAAAATAAAATATATTTAAATAATTGAAGCCTTGAGTTTTCCAATTATTTAAAATAAATATTCAATTAATGAAGCTTGAAGCGAGCCTTGGTGATGAAATTTACGTATTTTAATTTTAATGTTTATAAATATTTGAAGCAATACACAGAGTAGTGCTTGCAATGAATTGTTGAAAAAATTAAAACATTTATGATAAATTTGTTTAATTTTTATGGAAAATAACTCAATATGTTTCGCTGGTCAGGAAGATTAATATTTAATAGACGTATTAACTTCATTATGATATACCTTTATCAATATTTTCACTACAATATATACATTGGTAATTACATTAATTAATATACTTCAGGCGTTGATATTCACATTCGATTGAATTGCGAGTAATTTTTTCCTGAAATGTTTCATGTTCAAACAAGTATATTTTGTGGTAATAATTTGTAAATAATTTGATGATTTGTAAATGATATCATGTATTCATTAAGTTGTTTCTCCTGGGAAATTGAGGTTTGAGGAAATTGAGATACAAATTTGCCATTACTATTGATTTTTCTTACCATAACGCTACATTGCTTTTTCAATCAAACTGATTTAAAAGTAATTTTTTAAAATTTTCATCGTGTTTCGATGAATTATACTTTTTGGTAATACACAAGCGAAATCAAACTTTAATAAATTTTCTAGGACAACTGACATCTTTTTCTTCGCAGAAGTCAAAATTTCTCGTTATGCTGAATAACCCATTATGTTTTGATAGTAATAAATTTAATTGATGTAAATAACTAATAGGTACAAATTGATAATAGCTCATTATTGCTATTTTCATTTTTATCACGGCCTCTGATATATCTATTCAATCGAATCTAAAGTAATTTTTGGGAAATTTTTAGCGATTCGACAAATCTGTTTTATGGACATACGTAAGCGAAATCGGACTTTCATAAAGTTGACCTTTTTAGGGCAATCGTTTTATTTGAGTGAATTTAAGTAAGCAAATATAGCTGATCATCTAAGCGTGGATTATTGAAGTGAATAGAAAGTATTTTGGAAATAAAAAAATAAAATGGTTTAAGTTTGAACTTATTTATCTATAGTTTTTAGAGCACCACTGACCTATTTTGAATAGAAAATTTTATTTATCAAATGGAACACAATTTTTAAAAATCTATTGTTATAAATTGTTAATTAAATATTTAGTGACAACATCATCATTAAATAATATTTATATTATTTAGCTGCTCCACAATACATGTGATTTTAAATTTTTATCTTAAATTACTAAAAATTATAAAAATTACTTTAAAATATATTTTGGCTAAAATGCGTTGTAGTATTTGCATTTAAATATAAATATGTTATAAAATATTTTCTTATATTTACATTTTATGACAAGCAATTACTATCACGAGTTGACGTACAAAATATATATACTATATTATTGTTTTAGGTTCCTATATATTATTGTTTAATGTTTTTTGGGCCTACAACTGTGTTTCTCAAAATATAATAAAAATGCAATGTTTCATGAATAATTGTAATAAAATGTCATAAATTTTTTTTTAAAATATCCATTATTTAACTTTTACTTTCAGTATGTGATTGCTTGTCTATGAAAATTTAATTTGCATTTTTTATATTTATCTATTTTTGACGCTTATTGGCTTGTTTCTGAACTTCTATCCGAATTTAAAAGGAGTATTTGTTTTCAGATGATAGGTGTTATTTATCCAATGGTGGTTCTTCAGAGACTTTTACTGTTAAAGAAGATTTACCAGTTGGTGAGTAGTACTTCTATTAGATTGGTTTTTGAAATCAAATGCTTTGATTTTGAAGGAATTTGAAAAGTAGAAAAGATTTAGTTTATTCAATGTATGTTTAATTCAAAGCTGATTTGTTGTCTTTTTTTAGGAAATCAATATCACATTAAATAAAGGAAATTTAGTTGTTTAACAAAAGGAAAGTCACTGAGCAAATTTTTGATAAATTTTTACTAAGACGTTGATGGTTGAAACCAAATTATTAAACTTAACTATTTTAAATAATTTTCTGTTTAAAAATTGCAATGAAGTTAAGTCATTAAGGTAAAAGACAATCTTAAAAATAATTTGCTTAACTTTTTGAAAGATTTTAATCTGGGAGAATTAATATTTTTCTAAACTTATATAATGCTGCTTTAAACTGAAAGTAAAAGAGTAAGTCTTTTGATGCTAATGATCCAACTATTTTAAATATATATATATTAAGGTTGGTCTTATATATATTAAACTTAAGGAAAAAAGGTCTTAATATATTAAACTTATATATATTAAACTTAAGGAATATTGGTCTTAAGGAAAAAAGAAAAACCTTGCAAATGAGATATTAAATTCAAAATTTAAATTTAAAAGAAAATAAGCATTGTTTTATTTCGTAAACAAACAAATTTATCAGGAACTTTTATTTCACTGGGATCTTTTTTTTTGTTGATCATATTACGACGAAGTGAAAAAGTTGATCGTTTAAAAATTTAATAGAGTATTAAATGCTGTTTACCAAAATATCAGAGTTTATTAAAATAAAATGAAATTTTTTTTTCATAAAATAGTTTTAGTTTTTCACTAAACAACCATCAGATTTCCCTTAAAATTTATTTCATTAAACTACCATTTTCCACCAAAAACATTGACGAAAAGTGATTTTAAATCTGTCATAAGCAATGTTTGACTTTTGGAAACATTTTAGCTTTATATCTTTGCACTTTAACTTTGTAAAGGTTTTAATTGTATAATTTACCCATCATTAAAAAAATAATTTATTATTTCAGGCAGCTTAATTGGAACACTACCCATTCCTGGAGATCCTTCAAAAGATGGCGACATCGAATTAACATTAACTTCTGAACATTCTCCTGTAGGAATTCAAGAGTCAACCAAAAATCTTATTTTAAAACAAGCTCTTGATAAAGAAGGAGTTTCAGGACTTGCATCGGTATTAGTTGATGTCGCTTGCAGTAAAAAAGAGACGGATGACCCTGTAAGTTTAAAGCTTCTTTTATAAAATTTTAATTTAGCATTAAGTTGGTTCAGTTGCTTTTTTTAAATTCAGTTCCTCTCAATAATTATTGAAATATTAATTATATATTATTATTAATTCCAAAAAGTATTATTAATTTAATTTAGTTTGCATGACAGTATCCATTATTATTAAAAATATTATTCATTATGAATAATATGCAATAAATTTTTCTATTGTTGCTTATACAAAAAGTTAGTATAAAAAGAATTTAAACAGTAACTAGCAAATAAAAAATATTTGAAAATGCCCTTTCCATTAAATTATATCTTAATTAATGAATTTTATTAAGGGGTCTTCAGAGCATTGAGTGAAATAAAAATCAAGTTGTACTGGTCCAATAATTTTTTTCAGAGTACGTAGTCTTTTTAGCACTCAACATCGCTTAAACATTGCTGCACACTGTAAAAAATTCCGATTCAAACTACTGTACAAAGTACTGACACTCAAGATAATAGTATCTTTTTACCGCAAAATTCAGTTTTATCATAAAATTTTAGAGAATAAAAATTCGATTTTTACAGTGATATTTACTCTAAAATCACTAAATCACAGTGATTAAATAGATATTAATACAAAAATTATGATAGATAATTTTACGGTAAAAACTGATTTTACGATGAATGGAATTTATGAATGCTGCACTAAATACGGCAATACTCTTTACTGTAAAAACCATTTTACAGTGAAACTGGATTCGAAAAAATAGTACAAATAATGGCACATTAAGTTCAACATGTATAAAATCCCTTAAAATTATTAGAATTGATTTTATGAAGGCTGCAGTCAGGGTGCCAGTACTTTTACCACAAAATCAATTATTACTATTAAAATCCATTAAAAATCTGATATACCGTACTTATTCTAGTTACATTTACTGCAAAAATCACTAAATCAATATAATTAAATAAATATTATCGTAAAAATTACAGCATAAAATTTTACGTTAGAAAGGAATATTACGGATGTTGCACTCATGGTGCCTGTACTTTATACCGTAATTTGATTTAGAATTTTTTTACAATGCAAGCCGGATAACAAAATTGTTTACACTTTAAAACTTAGCAAGACGAGTTGCTTATCCATCTGCTTTCAACTTGAACAAATTAGCGTCATGCTTTACCACGTATCAAAATATAACGTTAGAAAATATAAAAATTTGCAAGGGAACAAGAAATAGAATCAGGTTGAACAATTTTTACAGTAATATTTACTGGAAAATCAGTGAATCATCATAATTAAATAAACATTACCGTAAAAATTACGGCATAAAAATTTTACGGTAGAAATTGTTTTTACGGATGCTACAATCAGGGTCTCAGTACTTTTTTCCGTAATTTGGTCCGGATTGTTTTTTACAGTGCAAGCCGGACCAAAAACCGTTTAAATTTCCTAAAACTTAGTAAAACATGTTGCAAACCTATCAACGTTCAACTTAGCCACTACGTTCAACTAAGTGAAATTTTATACCGTAATTTTTACGTAAATGAATTTTATCATAAAAATTACGATATAAAATTTTACGGTAGAAATGGATTTTACAGATGCTGCTCTCATGGTGCCAGTACTTTTAAAATTAATTTGATTCGGAAGCTTTTACAGTGCAAGCATGATCACAAAATCGTATATTTTTTTAAAAAACTTATTGCATATTGACCAAGTTCAACTTGAACGAAATCGCGTCATGCGTAATCACGTGTCAAAATATAACGCAAGACAATATAGAAAGTGAAAATTCGTAAAATAACAGGAAACACAGCAGAGTTGAACAATTTCACTGCACAACGTGAAGCAATGATTCGAAAATTGCATAATATTATTTGTGTAATCTGTGCACCAAAACTATTAGTAAATGTCCTGAATAATAGCAAATTAAACGATCTTCTGTAGTCAAAATGTTATGTTTAACATAGCTTAGTGTTTAATTTAATGATTTAATGAGCCAAAAATATCTCGTCCATTTGTTTTTGCATCTGACTCAGTAACATTATTTGGATTACCTTTTGGTTTGGTTGGTTACTTTGTTTAAAAAAATAGTGTTGTTCTTTGACGCAATATATCCGCATCAGGTTTTGAGGCAATGAACTGTCTGAAATATAGCTTTAACGTTAAATTTTGCATCACAATACCGTAAGAAATTGTTATAATCTCTAATTGTAATTGCAAATTGAAACATGTTTACGTTTAAGTTGAACCGTAATATCGTGTTATGGTTAAAAAATAATGATAAATTTATGTAGTAAGATGGTTAAACTAGTTACCGCATTTAGGCTGCAGAAAATTAGATTTTTTAATGCTCTAATTGCAAGTAAAATATATTTTGGTATTTTTCTTAATTTTAAAAACAACCTTATAAAATCTGCTAGATTCTCGAAATTATGTTTATTCTAAAATGTAAAATAAAACGACGTATTAATTATTTTCATTATCATTCAAATATTTATCAATAATTGATTTTGCAAATTAAAGAGATTTCAATGATAAATTGCTCTCTCTCTCTTAGATACAAATAAGTGAAAAGTTGAAAAAAAAAAACAATGTTTGAAAAATCAATCAAGTGAGCCATGCTTGGAAAATTTTACCTCTAACTCCGAAAGGGACATTGGTGTCCGTCTGTATTTCATAACTAAAAATTATTAAATTGTTAAATTCAATATTTTCCACTTATTTTGACCTAAATTTATACAAAATAATGAAAATAATATGAAAAATATGTTAAATAAAATTCTGCGTCAAAGGGTTAAATACCGTATATCTTGGTTTTATTAACCAGAATTAGGATTTTTTACCAGAATTATCAGTACCATACAGTATGGTAATTTTATCATATTTTTTTTCTGGGTACAGATGGAGTATTTGTTTTACATTAAAGATTCAGTTACATTCGATTAGTTACAAACTATCAGTTACCATATACGATATGATAATTTTACCAGAATTTTCCCCCCGTGCACATTGAGTACATAAAAGATTTAGGAAAATGCTATTAGTTACAAGCCATTAAAGAACACCTAAACGCATTTAAAATCTACAAACTGTTTATAAACGCCATTAAATCACTTTATTTGAGTTTTCTCACTTCGTTAAAACAGCTTAGTGTATATCACACATCAGCTTAACAAGTATGGCAACACTTTGAACAGAAAAAAAATAAATGTGACAGATTCTGAACTTTTCCCCATAATTTGCTCATTAGTTGTCAACGATGCGGTAACTTAAATCCGAATTTCCAGGCTAGACAACTACTTATTTTTTTACATTTTCAAACGGAAAACTTAAGTCTTAGGATACCAATTTACTTATAAACTGCGCTCATGAAAGCAAATCTAATTTTAGTCACAGATTCCTCTAAGGATGTTCGATTCGTTGGCTGTGTCACTAATTCAAGATTTAATTCGTCCGGTCACTAAAAGATAAAGCGAATAATGAGCAACTTTGGCCTAGTAGCTTACAAGTTGTCTTTGTGCTTCTTCTTTCTTCGTTTGAAGTGCTGTTGCACGAATTGGTTGGTGCTTCAACGTAATTGGAAGAGGGGTAAACGAGGTCAGACTAAGTCCAGAGACTGGAATAGAATAAAACAGGAAGCTAGAATACCGCGATTTTTTATTTTATCTGATGCCTCGATATATGATTTATATCGAAGGGCAATAAGTAGTTCCAGTAAGGTTCTGGAAGATTTGAGATATTTATCTAATAATGGTGATTTTGAGCCGGAGATAATATTGTGCAAGAGCAATAAGTCATTTTTTTTTATTTATTCTTAATAATCATGTTTAGAATTTGCTAAATTAGGTTCTCATACATTGAATTCTTTCTGTTGCTAGAAATAATTTTTTTTTATTATTTTAAAAATTAAAGTAATAAATATATTGACATAAAAATCTACATTTGCATAATTTTTCATTTATACAATTTTATGATAGAGCATTGGCAAAAAAAATTGGAGGTAGTAATAGGTTGTGAAGTCTTAGAGAAGATATAAGTATAATGAGAAATTAAGGAATACTTAAGATTTGGCGTGAAAATTTATTTATACATTTTTAAATTCTTTTACTCAATAGCATACATTTACTTTTCTGCATTTGATTTAGCTTATGCGATTCCTATATTTGCTTATAGAGCTGTATTGGCTTAGAAGATAGAGCGTTCACCTTCCAATAAGGTGAACCGGGTTCGAATCTCAGCCATGGCTGGTCTATACGAATTCCGCAACCGGTTCGCACCGACCACAGTGCTGACGTAAAATATCCTTAGTGGTAGATGGATCATGGGTTAGAGTCCCCGTGCAGCCGGACTAACTGCGGGAAGTGTTCGTGGTTTTCCTTTCCATGCAACGCAAATGCGGGTTAGTTCCTTCAAAGAAGTCTTCTCCCAATACTGTAGGATGCAGGAGTTCCCTTGAGTTCTGGATTGGGTTCAAAATTACAAGGCTGTTTTGTTATTAGTCGTTAACCCAAAATTGGGTCAACGTCGTTTATAATATATTTGGTTATAATTTTTTAAATTAAAATTAAAAATATATAAGTTTGGGTATTTACAGAGAAATATCGATTTTTTATTTTTTTTAAAATTTAATATATAAATTTTTTAATTGAGTTATAATAAGAAATACTGAAGGGGAACTTATTTTCTGAAATATTAAAGAAGATATATGTAAAACTAAACTTGTTAAACTAGAAGTTGTTTAAAAAATAGGGAAGAAAACCACCCACGAAAAAAATTAGGCACCTTAATTTATATTTTGCTATTGATTTGCATAATAGGAAATGTAATAGAGTTTTAATTCTTGTTTTAAGAAGTTTCAATAAGGTTGATTAAGCATAAAATATTAACTCTCTACAATTCACATTCATATATTTTTAAAATGTCTTGAATGTTTAAATTTGACAGCAGTGAAGAATAAATTGACGCACAATTAAATTTTTGGAGTTTTACATGATATCAGAAATCCGTAAATTCAA